AGAGGAACTACAGCTAGAATGTACCTTAGAAGCCAGAGTGGTGAGACTTGGTCTCACATACTTTGGACAGATTATCAGGAGAGACCAGTTCCTGGAAAAGGACATCATGCTTTATGAGTTATGGTCAATTAATATGGCCTTTCCAGCTCTGGTTCTGGACCTGAGGCCTGATACCTCCCGTTCAGGAGGACACTTTACTGCACCAATGGACAGGAGTGAGGTGGGATTGATGCTTGACCTTGGTGAAAGACATGCGTCAGACCACACCCTTTGTTTCCTGGAGAACATCTTTGATTTAACCTGAGTAGAGGGTGTGACTTAAAGATACCATCTTTGGTGCCTATAAATGCTGGTTCTAGCACACATTCCTTATCTGGAGAGCCAGCCTTTATCTCCTGACTGAGCGTTGGTAGAAGCAAGAAGACCCCTGTGACTTTGGGACTTTTTTTCTTCTGGCTCTGGACCCTGCATTTGCTCACCTCTGCCTGATCATCAGGTTTTTGGACTGAACAGCATGCACCATCTCATGAGACATTTCCTCAAAGTTTCCTGAGTTTGTGGGACATTGCAGCGAATCACAGAACCCAGAGATGTGAAGGAATATACTTGGGAGACGTTGGGGACAAACGGAGCAGAGTAGCATCTTAGACGGTTTGGACATTGGGAACATCTTCAGTCTCCCAACTCCTTGAGACTAGTATTAATTCTTACAAAAAGTTGTTGCACTTGGAAAATCGAGGGTCATCACAAAATAAGTCCCTTGAGATGGATCGACAGCAGTAGACTCAAACCAAAGTGAGGATGGCGCAGGACTAAGCAGTGTTTGTACTGTTGTACATGAGGTAGCTTTGAATTTGGACTAGATAGCATTTACGAACACTTCTTCTGGAACATCTATATATTTTTTATTTATTGGGTGGCTCTTAATGAGTCTTATTACAGTCCATCATTTAATTGTATTAAGCACACTTGTACATAACGTTGCCATCAACATTTGCAAAATCTTTCTGCTTGAGCCTTTCTACTTGGTATCAGCTCCTTTTTTCCCCTTCCTCCCCAACCCTCTCACCCTTATGAATCCTTGATCAATTATATATTGTTAGTTTGTGTTTTACACGGTTTTCTCCCTTCTCCCACATTTCTGTTGTTCATCCCCTGGGGAGTGGGCTATATATCCAACCTTGTGATGGATTTCTATTTACCACCCACCTCCACCATTCCCCTACTCATGATATCGCTACTCTTAGTACCCTTCCTTAGGGTTTTGTCTATCCTGGATTCCATGTGTCAAGTTCTTATAGCAACAATGAAACATATTCCTCTAGTTCCTGATTGATTTTGCCATAACCACGCTTGTAGATGAGTTCATTTACCAACTTCAGGTTTGGGTACCCCCGTGCAATGTATGGTTCCACAATCCTCAGCATGTTAAGCCTTGTTAAGATTAACAAATGTGCCATTGAAAATCTGGGGAAGGCGAAGAAGCTGTAACACTTTGAACCTTTGGGCTCACTCCATTGATACCTCTGATACTGATAACAAACGCTAGCTTGGGCTCTCCAGGCACATCGAAGTTGCCAGCTTTCCTTGCCATGTGAGCCATTCGGATTTCAGTTCTGTACATCTGCCTGTATTCCTTGTGATAGTGCTTA